GGCTTTTCTGGGACATGCTTGTAAGGCATAAAAATATGACCTAGTTAGGCAGCTGACTGGGAACAGGGTGTTTTTTGTGTGCTTGCTGTAAGTCTAATGTATCGTTTGCATTTTAGGAAATTCCATAAAAAGTTGGGCCAGCAAGCGTGGATTGTGGCGACCATCACTGTTACAGAGTTTCTGATCGTGGTCAAATACGACCCCAATACCATCATGCTGCCAATCCCCTTCTTCGTCACTCAGTGCTGGATACTTGGAATCGCTCTCATCCTTATTTGGACCTTGTGGCGGTTTTTCATCCGGTAATGACCCTACATATCAGTTCTTTAATTACGGTTACTGATGGCAGTATAAATGCAGATTTAATCAATTAATAAGTAGCTTAATAAAGTAACATTTTTATTTGATTCAACATAGGATTGATTACACAAACTTTAAAGCTACACTATGTAATTTTTCCCCCCATCTAGTGGTGAAAAGGTATATGACCATCCAGTGAATATTAGTTTCTGTTCCTCTCAATTCCGATTTCGTTTTAACTCCTACGGTGGCCAATGTAGTCCAAGATTAACATGGCTTCCAGTTCGACCTCGTCCATGAGTGTTAACTCAAACGTAAACGCGAAAGGCGAAGCTTGAATTAACGGGTATGTCCCTCTTTGGCTAATGTACTTTCAAGATGGAGGGGCAACATGGCGACCGACATTAGAAGCCCGTATGTATTTTCAATGGCATATTATACACTCACTAAGTGTTTTTAGCTAAGAATAAACTAAAAGAGTTACACAGTGTAGCTTTAAGGCTACAACAGCCATATTTTTTTTCAGAAGCTGCATCTGAATTGGTATTTATACATATTTACAGATAGTTTATTTCAGCTTTGAGGTGGCATGAATGCATTTACACACTGCAGTCAGAAATAATGCAATGCATTTTAAAATATTAAAGTGATGGTTCACCCAAAAAGACATTCTTTCATCATTTACTATCCCTGTTGTTTCAAATCTGTGACTTGTTTTTTTGGTGGAACATAAAAAGATAATTTTGCAAGGTCTCAGTATGTTTTTTGTTCATACAATGGAAAATCACTGGTAGCCAAAACAGTTTATCAAAAGAACATACAGGTCTGAACCGGGTGAGTAAATGATGACTGTATTTACCCCATTTGGTAACACTTTAATTGAAGGAGTGTGCATAAGACTAACATGACACCTTCATAATCATGACTTGACATATGTTATGAATATGAAGGAGGTTTTATGTTTGACAACTGTCATTAAGTGTCATTCACTCAGTTATGACATTTTTAATGCAAATATGACATTGTTTGAGATGTCTTTGTCATGAAAACTTGACATTATTAAGACAACACAACCTGTCATAAACATGACATAGCAGATTAATTATCAAACTTAAACAATGTCATATTTGCATTCAAAATGTCATTATTGAGTGAATGACACTTAATGACAGTTGTCATAAACCCTATTTCATATTCAAGACATATGTCATGTCATGGTTATGAAGGTGTCATGTCAGTCTTATGAACACCCCTTCAAGTAAACCATTACCAAACATTTTAAGAGAAAAATGTAAATCTGACTATTTCTGCAGCATATAATACCGCAGGTAGGATGTTAGTATGATATTCGTTTAGTAAAACTGATCCTAAGATGACTAAGATGTCAACTGACCAAGTGTTCTGCATTGACAGTGACATCACACTCCGATACAAAGAAACACGGCGGCGTAGACAGGAAGGGTCTTCGGAGCGGGACAGAGTCCCCGACGGCAGCAACACGGCCCCGTCTGGCCGTAGCAAGCTAAACGGCAGCATGGACACAGTCCGACAAAGGAAGTCATGAATCCACACACGAACAGCCACATCATAACTGGACACACGTTTGTGTTTGTAATCCTGTTCAGATCATACCAACACTCATGGTGTCTGTCGAGCTGCTTCCAGACAGGTGATGCCATCATTTCCTCTCCTCACCGAGAGGGTTGTTGTATATTTAGGAAAACATGTCTTTGTAGCTGTTACATAGGTGCGGCGTTTAGGGTTCGGGGTCCACTGTTCCTCTGGTTTGGGGTTTATTGATCGGTGCTATGCAAGAAGACACATCTTGATGCAGAACACTATGCAGTGAGCTGAGGGCTGAGGAAGTGCACATATAGCCATTTATGAATAAAACAATCCTTTTAAACTTGCGTTAGGTGGGTAGCTACACAGGAAAGTGCTACTAAATATCTCGCATAAGCTACAAAAGTGTATTTAAAAAGATTTGAGAATGTAATTATTTAATCGGCTGTATACTTCTATGTTTAGGATACTAAAGGAGGTTACACAAGCAACTCACACATGGACAATCCTGACACTTTTAACACGGGTCAGTGCCATGATTGGACCAAAATTGAAGAACTCTGTTGTTTCGTTTGCATGTGTGAATGTGTGCGCAAACAGTCAAAACACTCATCTTGCTGATGCCGTTTTCATTTCTGCAGGGAAACCATAGACAGAAACTTTGGGTGTTTTGAGTATATAAAATAAAAACATTGAAAAAGCCATCCCAAAGCTCATGCTGTCTATGTTTAGGATCTGGTCGCAGTGAGTAAGTTGTGTGCTGTTGTTTCGTGATGGTGCGTCTGTATTCTGATAAAGTCCAAACCGGCCTGATCTGGTGTGTCAAACGCCATTATAATCTTACTGTGAATGTAAACGTCTAGCACTAGTTCGACTTAAGCGGTTTAGTGTCATGTTACTGAAGGTGTTTAGTGGTCATTTTGATTTCACTATGAGGGGAAAGTTAAAACCACAGTGTAAGTTCTCGTCCAAATGATCAGAATTATCTCTCTGAAATCTGTGTGGGACCATTTGATGATCTGTCTGCCTCTGCTTCTAGTGGTTCATGTGGACATGTTACAGCTGGGAGTTCATATTTTATAATGTTTTCAATAAATAAAAAGGGAGTTCTAACTCGCTAACTTTTTTTTTTTTTTTAAATCTATGCAGTGCATGTTTCATTCATACTGGCTCAGGTTTTCTGCTTCATTTTTTTTTTTTTTAATTTTCCCTTACACATAGAGCAGAATGTCTTAAATGTATAGTCATTGTATTAAATGTTGCATGCATACAAAAATGATATATAAAAATATCTCCCTCAATATTTTATCCTGCTTTGCATATACTTGAGATACAAATGTAAAATTAAGTTATTTTTTTTTAACAGAATTGAGTTTATGCTTAAAATAAGAACAAATGAGTTATGAAAACCTCCTTTGAATTTAGTGGATTTTTCTGAGCCCATTGGCAGATATTCTTGTTTTAATCAGAAGTCACTTCATTTTGATGATCAATTTCTTGGACATTTTTTTTTTTTTTTAATTTTTTCTCAAGAAAATGCAACTTGATTTAAGAATTTTTAGACATTTGCACTAGAAAAACAGACAAAAATACTGAGGAAGAACAGTGATCAGAAGGCACAGTAAAAGTATTATTCCAGTGGTTGGGAACAGAGGCATTCAAGCTACTTTTTTGTAAAATAAGTGAAAAACTAATGATCTGTTCAAACTCTGAAGTGTTGCTTATATAACTTGTGTTTCTTTCAATATTACTTGCATTTTCTTTGGTGTTAAAAACTGTCTTAAATTGACGTTTATAAGGCCTGCAGAAACCCTGCTGGCTATTTCTGAGGGAATTCATTTTGTAAGCTGAAGTATATGGAAAGTAATGCTACTTGTTAGATATAAAAAGCACTTGCAGATTTAATTTCTGGTAAGCATTATCATCATCATAGGTAATTTTAGTTTTTGTTAGTTTTAAAACCACGTTTCCAAGTAAAACATATGATTCAGTTAAGAAATGTAATCCATTTCCATATTTCTTTCTAAAATTATGGATATCCAAGTGAGATGCATAGTTTTAATAACCAAAAGGCAATTTATTATTATTGCCGATGGATTTTTATTTTATTTTTTTCAAACTACAGTTTTCAAGAAAAAGATTCAGGTAAGAAATTGTATCTACTCTTTACTGAAGTTCCAGGTTTCAAAATATAAAAACTGCTAGTATACGGCTTGTAGCTTTATCCATTGAATATGTACTAAAATACTTACAATTTATTTAGTTTTAGGTTCCCCAAAACCATGAAATAAATCATTGTTATACTTTGATCGTTTCAAACTACATATCCCAGCAAAAACGCTAACGTTAAAAGCTTTGATTGTTTTCCCTGTGCAATGCAAGATATTTATTGTAGGCCTATAATTGTTCATAGATTGTATTTGTTGTGTTGTTACCCCATAATCATACATATTATTAAAGGAGTAGTTCACTTAAAAAAAAAAAAAAAACTTTTGCTGATAATTTACTCACCCCCATGTCATCCAAGATGTCCATGTCTTTCTGTCTTCAGTCAAAAAGAATTTAAGGTTTTTGATGAAAATATTCCAGGATTTTCTCCATATAATGGACTTCAGTGGGAGCCAAACGGTTTAAGGTCCAAATGAGAGTTTCAGTGCAGCTTCACAGGGCTTCAAACGACATTAGCCGATGAATAAGGGTCTTATCTAGCGAAACGATCGCTCATTTAAAAAAATAAATAACAAAGTTTAAGTTTTATAAGCACATGCTCGCCTTGCTCTGTTCTGTGATGAGTGTTCGTGACTCTCCTTTTCAAACTTGTTCATCAAAATGAACAAATCTTTTTTCGAGTCATGACTCAAAGGGTCCTTGATAAGACCCTTATTCATCGTCTGGTGTCCTTTAAAGCCCTTTGAAGCTGCAATGAAACTCTCATTTGGACCTTGAACCTTGGACCTTTAATTTCTTTCGACTGAAGAAAGGCATGGACATCTTGAATGACATGGGGGTGAGTAAATTATCAGCAAAAGTTTTTTTTTTTTTTTTAAAGTGAACTACGCCTTTAACCCACCACTTTTATTTAGTAAAACTGCATTTCCCAGCGCACCGTGCGTGCGATAAGATTGTAGCCCAGAAGCTGCTTTGTAGTCCGGAAGTACTGCATTCGCTGTTTTGTTGTGGTAGAACAGTACAACGATTTTTGCGTTCTAATCCAATGACAGTCGGCGAATGAATCGGACACGAGCGCTGTTCACGGCTGGTTTTTGCACGCGCTTGGTTGTTACTGACATGAGGAGAAATAATTCAAGGCAGGATGGAAGATGAAGGGTTGCTGAAGTGGACCGTTATTGTTCTCACATGTCAACATAAAGATAGTGTTTATGCCTTCCAGAGAGGTGAGTTCACACATCGTATGACTTTGTATGTTTGTTTTTAAAAAGCCTTAATCTACGTTAAAGTAATAATGTGAAAAACTTGTAAACAAAAAGTATTATGGTATTGCTCTGGTGCTGCGTTCTATCTAGTTCACTCGCTAACTTCCCTCCGTCTCGCCCACTCGGATCATGTACCACCTCATTTAGGGGGCACATCATCGCACGAGTGCCCCCTACTGGCGGAAACTGCAATGGAACGTCCAAAGCCTATGATCACTTTGAATCAGCTATTCCCTTTAAGAAATTGTTTAATGCCGCATCCGAATGTATATAGATGAGTTTGGTTTGTTTTAAATAAAAAAGTAATAAAAAAAGATATCATAGAGTTGTTTGTGGTGGTAGTGATTAGACGAGATCTGAGGTCACACAATCGTGTTGCATTGTGGTATATGGAGCTGCCTGCCTGAAGGTACGAAGTACACAGATTAAATAAATCTAAAACCTAATCTAAAGTTATTCATTATGTGTCGGTTTGCCATAAATCCAGACTGAGTCTCATCTACAATGCTGTCCAAACAATTTTTAAGTCTTTTTGCAAATATTATGGCAAACATTTTATACTCGTCGTTGTTAGGAGTGTGATGGGTCGCCAAGATCTTTATTTGTTTTAGGAATTAGCGTGATACCCTGCGTTAAAGTAGCCCGAGCTTCTTTATCAATATTCACTTTAAAAACACATGTTAAAGAAGGAGAAAGTTCATCAGCAACTCCATAGACTGGAAAAAAAAAAATCACAACACATTCTATCACTATCAGTCCACCTCAGGGGATTTCCCGCCGCCATTTTGAAGTGCGTTCCTCAGTTGGCTGATGATACACTTTTTTTGCATGATGCTAACCGTTCCATTAGCACTAGTCTTGAACCTTTCGAGAACTTTTGAACTTTTCAAATCACCTTTTGTGATTTGATGTCCATCAAAGAGTGTAGTTTGTCACAAATTTGTAATATACAAATTAGAGATCAGGTATCATATTTAGGTCCATAATATTCATGGCCCATAATATATCTTTAGACATTTACAATGGTAATGACACTCTCGGGAGTTTCGTTGAGTATATTCATCTAAGGGTTAATAGGTGCCACATTATGTACTGTAAATAACATGGTATCTAATGCCATCACTGCACCATGTACTTTGATGTGGGTCTACCCCTCATTAACAGATCTCAGGTTCAGGTGGATCTCATGGAGGTGTGTGTGTGTTTCAGAGTTGGAGGTGCGTCAGAAGCGCGGTGTTCTTCCGGCTGATGCCTTGCTGCTGACGGTTCCTGACCCAAACGCCCGGCTGGGCAGCGGCGGGGCCACACTGAACGCCCTGCTCGTGGCTGCAGAACACCTGAGCGCAAGAGCTGGATACAGTGTGAGCTTTACATTACTCTCTCTCTCTCTCTCTCTCTCTCTCTCTCTCTCTCTCTCTCTCTCTCTCTCTCTCTCTCTCTCTCTGTTAGTATTTTAATGAAATATTATTACAATTCAAAATATATTTTAAAATGTAAATACATAGCAGAATTTTCAGCATCATTACTCCAGTCTTCAGTGTCGCATGATCTTTCCGTAATCTTTGAAAATCCTTGAAAATCTCATTTGTTTATGAGTATTATTACTGTTATGTTTTTGCGGAAACCATGACACATTTTTTTCCAGGATTCCTTGATAAATAGAAAGTTTTAAATAGAAATAGAAATTTTTTTCCATCATTATTACTATCAATTTAATGCATCCTTACTGAATAAAAATGTATTTATTTATTTTTTTTATAAAAAAGTCATATATATGTAGTTACCCCACATTTTTATGCGAGAGTCTCATGAAAATATGATACAACATTGATATTAATTAGCAAATCAACATTTCTTGTGCTTATTCAGCACTATAATATCTCAATGTTCTGATAAATTATTAGAGTACAGTTTTAAACATTCTTCAACACCCTTAATTAAATGTGTGTTTGTGTTTAGGTGGTGAACGCAGATGTTCTGGATGAAGCTCATATTCTCATCCTTCACACGGTCTGTAATAAAACAAAAGACATGTTAGATCAAGTTTCACAGACGTGTGTTAACAGGTGTGTATTTTAGGGCAGAGATTTCCCATGGGACGGCTGCAGCAGGGCTTTCTGCTGGATGCCCGTACAGAGATCAGATGCCGTAGAAGGACCTGTGTGCTGCTTAGACCTGCTGTTGGATTGTCTGTCCACAAAAGTGAGTTATGCACACACAGATGTACATGAAAGCATACACCACTCACTCTCTGTGTAATGCAATGAGGTGTGTGCATCATGGTGCACATTTAATGAAACTAAATATCCCGTTGTTCCAGATTTGCCCCGGATCTCCTCCAGGTGTTTGGGTGTGTGGCACAGATATGATCCTGGATATTCCAACACGAAAGCGTGAGCTAATATTTATACAATCACACTTCTAATGCATAAATAAAAGCCTCAAAAAACATTCGATTTTTTCCGATTGTGATATAAAGTCACAATTAGCTTTTTATCTTTCACACGCTGACAAATCAACATTGAACAGCTTCTAAAACACTTTAGCAAGGAGTTTTTACTGAATTTGATCAATATCTTCACCTCTTTTCTTTACAGTGTTTTCATGGGACGGGTTCTCTGGGGTTCAGGTTGTGGCGTTGCCAGGTGACGCTGGTTTTGCTCTTAATCACGGCGTATATCTCACAGATGCAGAGGTGCGTTATTCAAGATTAGGGTTCTTTTTTTTTTATTGTGCATCTGTTTTATTTTCTGAGAATTTTTTTATTATTGCTTTTACAGAACAGAGTATGTAACATTATCTATAAGGGCTCAATGGAGAAGATCAGCCTTGCCGCACTCCCTGATGGGAAAGTACCCCTGGTATGTATTTGATTGGTGCATATATAAAACATGATTTCACTATTGTTTTACATGACGGTTTTCCAGCCTCTCTTTTACCATGAGGCTAGTTTTGGTACTGTACCTTTAAGACTTTTATATTAACTAGTAAAAATAGTGGTATTTATTAAAATAAGTCTCTTATGCTTACCAAAGCTGCATTGAATTGATCAAAATGCTGTAAAAATTTGCTAACATTGTGAAATAATATTAATACAATACAAAATAACTTTTTTCTATTTGAATATGTTTTAAAATGTAATTTATTCCTGTAATCAAAGCTGAATTTTACTCCAGTCTTCAGTGTCACATTATCATTCCGAAATCATTCTAATATGCTGATTTGCTGTTCAAGAAACATTTCTTATTATTATCAATGCTGAAAACCGTTGTGCTTAATATTTTGTGTAAACTGTGATACATTTTTCAAGATTCTTTAATGATAAGAGAGTTCAACAAACAGCATTTATTTCAAATAGAAATCCTTTGTAACATTATAAATGTCTTCACTGTTACTTTTGGTCAATTTGATCTGTCCTTGCTGATAAAAATATGGTATGCCCTTGAAATCCAAATATTTCATCTACAGTATATATATACACTCACCTAAAGGATTATTAGGAACACCATACTAATACTGTGTTTGACCATCTTTCGCCTTCAAAACTGCCTTAATTCCACGTGGCATTGATTCAACAAGGTGCTGAAAGCATTCTTTAGAAATGTTGGCCCATATTGATAAGATAGCATCTTGCAGTTGATGGAGATTTGTGGGATGCACATCCAGGGCAATCCAATTTTGGTGAGCTCTTGCAAATTGCAGCCTCTTTTTCCTATTTGTAGTGGAGATGAGTGGTACCCGGTGGGGTCTTCTGCTGTTGTAGTCCATCCGCCTCAAGGTTGTGTGTGTTGTGGCTTCACAAATGCTTTTCTGAATACCTCGGTTGTAACGAGTGGTTATTTCAGTCAAAGTTGCTCTTCTATCAGCTTGAATCAGTCGGCCCTTTCTCCTCTGACCTCTAGAGTCAACAAGGCATTTTCGCCCACAGGACTGCCGCATACTGGATGTTTTTGCCTTTTCACACCATTCTTTGTAAACCCTAAAAATGGTTGTATGTGAAAATCCCAGTAACTGAGCAGATTGTGAAATACTCAGACCGGCCCGTCTGGCACCAACAACCATGCCACGCTCAAAATTGCTTAAATCACCTTTCTTTCCCATTCTGACATTCAGTTTGGAGTTCAGGAGATTGCCTTGACCAGGACCACACCCCTAAATGCATTGAAGCAAATGCCTTGTGATTGGTTGATTAGAATTAGATAATTGTATGAATGAGAAATTGAACAGGTGTTCCTAATAATCCTTTAGGTGAGTGTATATATGTCTACCATTTCTAAATTAAAAACAAATTCTACAAATAATTCTAAAAAATCTTTCTAAAAGTGTCCGTGTGGTGTTCAGGTGTCTGGGCCGGTGTTTTTCTCTAGGGCTGTTGCAGAGAAACTCCTGCAGACTCATGTTACGTCACCGCTGGACGGCTGTACTTATCTCGGCATGGATTCAGGAGCTCCACCGCTTGAGGTAATCGCACACCACATGGTTTTCTTTCTCAGATTCGCAGATCCCACTCTCACTTTTCTTTCCTTCTTGCAGATATCTCTCTTTCTGGATATTCTGGTGTGCCTTTGCTCTGACCTGACAGAGCATGAGTTCATCAACGGAGAGAGAGCAGGCTGCAGCTCGTCCTCCGGGCCTCAGGGGGCAGCAGTGAGGAGCGGCCGCGCCGTACTATGGAGGACGCTTAGAGGAGCCTCTATTTCTATGTGTACTCTTGCTCTTTTCTACTCTAAGGCCGTGTGTCCATCAAAAAAAAAAAAAACGCCAGACGCTCTGCTGAAGACGCCGTGCTTTGGGCGCTTGAGAGCGATTGAGACATTTGAGACGTTTCGTTGCTATGATACAGAATATCCGCACAGTTTACTTTTTACTTTTCGCAGATAATTTCACAGTTTACTTGTTCGCAGATAATTTGTTTCATACTAAAAAATTAATTTTTCATCCATATTGTTCGGTTAGCTCTGCTGGTTGATGTCGTTGTACAGAAAGAATGTTGTGACAGTTGGTCGGTGTGGTGTAGTCCCGCCCCTCCTCCACTGTGATTGGACGGCTGGATAAGAAGTGACAGTGATGAGCGCTGCGTTTTATCCAAAGTTGTACACTTTTCAACTCTCTGCGACCAGTAAAAGGCACTGGACGCTTCAGCGTGAAAAAAACGCTCAGCGATTCGTTACGCTCATGGCGTTTAAAAAACGCTGCGCTCCCATTGAAAACAATTGAAAACATACGCCAGGCGCGTGGAAAAACGCTTTGTTGGACACACGGCCTAATGCCACTAAATTAGAATTTAACATCGGAGTGTGTTTATGGATGTGTTAAGAGTGGAATACTTGCATATTGCATAGTGTATACTGTGCATTTCGCAATGACAAATGGTTCAAACATGTTCAAATGACCTGATTACATGCATTCAACTCGCCATGCCTGTGCCTTTGTCTGTGTTTGTCATCCAATCTAATAATGAGTCAAGAATATATGTTTAAAGTCACTGCTATTACTTCCAGTTCATTAATAAAAGGTTCGCTGCACTGCATTGTGGGATTCAGTCCTCAGTGTATACTTAACATTTTGGCCTTGCATACTAAATATTCACGTGCTGTTCTGACGTATCATGTTTGTTGCCAGTGTACATTCCTGAGGGCCGCTATGATTATTTGACTCAGTCGGGCCGAGAACATGTCGTCCGTCTAACAGAATCTGGATCAGAGACAATGATTCTGTCTCACATTCAGGTGGGAAAATGTTGTGAACATGTCTCTGAGATGTGTATTAATAAATTCAGTTATCATAAATGTTTTGTTCTTTCTGTTTTAAAGGAAGTGGAGTCTGTGGCAGTAGGCAGCAGGGTGATTAATAGCGTGTTGGAAGAAGATGTTCGTGTATCAGCAGGAGCTGTAGTGCAGCACTGCCACCTACAGGTCTGGAGGATTTTGTCATAAGGAAATGAAAACCAACTTGACCCTACTGTTTTTATTACAGATGATCATGTTTCACTTTGAAATATGCCACATTATGGAAGGAAAACTGCTTATTAATGTTTCATGTTGTATAAGTATAATGTTCAATTATCAAAATGTGTCAATATCAATTAAAGGGTCCAGTCCAGGTGCATTCTGGGTGCCTGCTGTCAGGGCTTGATTTGACCTCATCGTCCTGCATCCAACGTTTACCTCTATCCAGCGACATCATGGTTCAGGGTCATCGAGTGATGCTTGGAGAGTTAAAGTTAACTGTGTACACAGCTTTTGGAGCTCATGATCAATTAGAGGTGAGTTTAGAGCCTGATTCATTTAACAGATGCTTTTATCCAAAGCCACTTACAAATGAGTTCTGCTTATTTGCTCTGAAGAACTAAATAAAATGATTTATGCTAGTTTTGTGCTTTATTTTATGGTATTGTAATTACACACAGGCTCATGCTGATGATGTTACAGCTTCATTCCTTAATCAAAAATGGAGTGAGTTTTACAGTCGGACTGGAATACAGTAAGAAACTTTTACATTCATACCTCATTCAGACTTTAGACTAAAGGTTTGGTCTATCTTTCTATTTGTTTTACTTCGACTCAGGCTGTCTTAAGGCCCGTACACACCGGGACGAATATCAGTGCGCGTTATTCGTCAGCGTTTTTTGTGTTCACACCCAAGCGATTTTCGCTGATGATGAGCCAAAATCATTCCCTGACGCCAATTTGCCATTGCAATACAACTCCATAACAGTTATCTTTTATCAAGATGTTTGTAGTCGCGTTTGTCATATCGTTCTTTATGTTCTTGCACCAACGAGAACAGCAGCTCTACATTCATCTTCCTTGTCTTATTTCTTCCTGGCTGTGTAGACGGCGACGCGTATATCTTCTTCACCGTTGCATATGTGTGCTTGGCAAGACCGTTTTGTGTTTGAGCGCCCCACAGTTGTGTTTTACCAGAGAATGTCTAATTGAAGAGAATTGGCACTGGCTGGTTACTTCCTGGTTCTGGACTGGCTGCAGTAACGCGTCTCTGTCCATGTGGGGGCGCTCGCGGTCGAGTGCAGAATGAATGGGAGTCAGTGGGGTTTCACGCCCATAAATCCGCTTTTCTCAGGATGTAATTTTTTGTCAAGTAATTTGAAAGTTGCATTCAAAAGGGAGGGCTAAAAAAATACACTCAGCTGAAAATTGCATTTTTAAGTTCACTTATCTGTTCTAAAAATCCGTTCAAAAACGTGATGACGTCACACAATAGCAGAATGCTAGCGTGTTCCAGCCAACAACAGCCTAATCTGTGAGAAATCAAAAGGACATAAGTACCTGTTCATTCGACTTTTGGCCTATAATCTATAGTGAACTTGCGGAATCAACAATAAAATCTATGTTGATTTAACGACAAGCAGGAGAAAGAGACACATTTAGCCGTTTAGCCCCATAGACTCCCATTCATTCTGCTCTCGCCCGCGATCACCTCCAGTGGAATTATAATGGAACTGCAACCAAGATGATACACAACGGGGCTAATAGGAAGGCTCTCCGTTAGACGGGCTCTGGTTTTACTGTCTTTTCAGAAGCTCCAAACACGTGAGAAAAAGCGGCAATCTCATTGGTCGGATAGTTTTTGACGCGGTGCGTCAAACAAAAAACGAACCCGAGGCGTTTTTAAAAAAATGACGCTTTTACGCGTGGGGTTTTTACGTGTCGGTGTGAACACTCACATTCGCGCCCATTGTTTAGTCACGAGGCGTTAAACGTCGGCGAATAACGTGCGCGAAATTCGTCCCCGTGTGAACAGGCCTTTAGCCAGGGCCTGTGATATGAAAATTTGATCAGAAAAATTACCCTGACATTTTTTCCCCCTAATCTGTAATGCACAGTTTTATGACTAGTAAAAAATAAATTATTTTTTACATTTTTTCGTCACTTGCCATTGGCTTTTTTTAGGCCCTGGTCACAGCATTATATAATGTGTCTAAAATATGTATGTGTGTGTGTGTTAAAGGCCTCTGGACCTATGGGGACCTGAGAAGACCGAGTCATGCTGTCTGCTGGACGCCCGATTGTTCCCAGTGTTCATGCCCCGTTCAGGACCCGTTGGACTGGAGGGTGTTTGTTGGCTTCTGGGCGGCACTGGTGTGCGGGACCGCTGGAAGGAAGCCTGGAGACTCTCGCTTAGGGACATTGTGATCCTGACGGACCAGCAGACGGAGCTGCGCTGGAGAGAGGAGTTATTCTTTAGCGTGGGTCGACGAAGAGCCGCTGACGCTCTACAAGGCCACACAGATCTCAATCTACTGCCGTTCTTCAGAGCAGCAGCGCTGGCCGGCCAGCAGGAGGCGCTACTACAGGCGCTAGATTCGGGTGAGGAGCAAAAGATGAGAAATGGTTCACATCTGTTGACTTCTGAGGGTACTAATATTTAGTCTGTTTGCTCAGTTGCTGCAAACAGCAGTGGTGATCTGGGAGTCGCGGCTCGTAGTCTGGCCTGTATCGCAGATGTTCTTGGCTGTCTGGCGGGCGAGGGGAAAGGCGGTTTACGCAGCGGACCAGCGGCCAATCCATCATGGGCTCCTGCTTTTAAACTCCTAGAGGACGGAAACTTACCCGCTGGTGTCCAAGAACTGGCTAAACAAAGAAAGCACTGGCTCAGCAGGTCAGAAGTAATTTATTAAAGTGCAAAAATTGAACAAAAATGTGATTACATAAAGCAAATGCCCCGATGTACTTAAAGCAAATTTGAAGTGTATTTTGTTATTGAATAGAAAACACACAGCACATATTTACATATTCATTTGAACGCTGCTCTCGGTGACGCTGGTGCCATTTTTCAACCTTCTTTTTTATAACTTTTATCAGAGCCTTTAAAGTGAGATGCTTTCAGATTTGTCATTGCTCTGTAAAGGCCAGATTTGTTGGTGCGAGCCGCCAGGCATTATGAGGGGGCGGGACAGATCCTGCTGCGGAAGGCAGTGATGTCAGCGCGCCAGTTTGTGTTCATTGGTCGAGGAGAGATGCCGCCGATGGGCGAGTGGCAGGAAGTGGAGTGTCCCGCCAGACTGGATCTGTCAGGTGAGAAACAGCTTCTTCTGTACAACAGGATCTGATCAGAGTTTATGTCTGACGGTGCTGTGTGAAAGTTTGAAAACCTTTGAATTTTTAACTATAGATAAAACTATTGATAAATAAACTATTGTTAAAACATTCGGGGCAGTACAGTTTATTTGGGAAAAAAAATTATCCTTTTTTTTGGTCAAATAAATGCTGTTGTTTTGGACTCTATTCAGAATTTCTAAGGAATATATAATAGTTTCCACAAAAATATTAAGCAGCTCAACTTGTTTTCAACCGATAATTATCAGAAATGTTTCTTCAGCAATCATTATATTTTGAATGATTTCTGGAGGATCATGTGACACTGAATACTGCAGTAATGATGCTGAAAATTAAGCTTTGATCACAGGAATAAATTATATTTTATAATTAAATAATTTATATATATATAATATAATTTATATATATAATTTATATTTGTATAATTTATATATAATTTATAAATATATAAATGCATTAGAATAGGGAAAAAATGTTAATTGATAATGTTACAGTGTTACTTTTTACTGTAGTTTTAAACAAATAAATGTAGACTTGTAATATTCATGTTTTTGAAGTCTCCTTGCATACCAGCCCTAAACTTTTGGAAAGTAGTGTAGATGAATTTAGTTGATATATTTAATTGTATTTAATTAGAAAAATCTTTGTGTGCTAGAATACTTTTTTTCCCAGAACTACCTGTGTTGAAATTCAGTAAATTTGATCCTGTCATAAGCGTATCAAAACAAAGCTTTACTCTAAACAATTCAGATTTCATAGTGTCTTTCACACACTGTGCTGAAAGTGTGTGTGTTTGAAAACGTCATCAGGCGGCTGGAGTGACACTCCTCCTATTGCGTTTGAACACGGTGGGCTGGTGGTCAATGTGGCCGTCAAGGTGGATGGAAAACGTCCGATTGGAGCTCGAGTTCGACGCATTGCAGAGCCTCATCTGCTGTTGGTCAGTGCCAGCGGTGACCCGTCCTGCAGCTTCTCCACAGAAACACTCTGTGAGGATCTCACTGACCTGGAGGACTATTGCCAACCACACGCTCCAGGTCAGAGAACATCAAAATCTGTGAGCTGTACACAACTGATATGCAATATAACACATTTCTGTTCCTGTAAAAAATCGAAATATTCTGTAAATGCTCACTAAAGTTGTTTCTATGTTAGGTGCCCTGCTGAAAGCCGTGTGTGTGTGCAGTGAGCTGGTGTGTGTGTCGTCCGCTGTCTCTCTGAAAGAGCAGTTGTTGCAGCGCTGGGGAGGCGGACTGGAGATCCACAGCTGGTCGTCACTGCCACACGGTTCTGGTCTCGGTCAGTGGGAATCTCTTTTGACTGAATCACTTCACTGTTTAAATGGTTGTTTTGGAATAAACACATAAAATATCTTTTGTACAAATGGGAAAAATGTGCATAAGGAAAATCAGAAGCAATAACAGTAATGTGTAATGGCATATAGATAAATTATGAATAATTATAAATATATATATTTACACATAGTAGCAAAAAATATGAATATTAAATAAAAAACTATGAATCTATCAAATAAAATTGATGATTATACATGCTAATACAAATAATAATAATCTAAATATTATTTTAAATATATAAATTATGTGTATAACAAATGTATACTCATCAATTAAAGTTTTATTTTATAATAATAATAATTTTTACTATGTGAATTATTTTATAATATATGTATAATCTTCCACTTTATATATATATATATTTTTTCTGTCTAAATATATTTAATATTATTCATTTGTAAATATATATATATATATATATATATATATATTTATAGACCATTTCACAAGATGTAAACAACACTGGTCCAGAAGCACTTCCTGTTTCAGTTTTTTTAACACTAAATAAAAGCTGGGATAAAATACAACCAACAGAACATTTAAAACTGAATTAAAAAGTTAAACAAACATCTTTAAGATGTTTTCTTTACATGTGAAATAAAGAAAACAGTTACAAACTGAAACAGGAAGTGCTTCTGGACCAGTGTTGTTTACATCTTGTGAAATGGTCTATATAGCAAATTGATGCCATCAATTTCACTATGTTGTATTTTATAACTTTTATTTTAAAATAATAATAAAAATTTGAAATATTTTTATATTCATTTTACTTTTTTATATATTCGTATTTTTTGTTTTAATAGATGTTGTTTGGCTGGATCACACAAAATGTAAATCAATGAATTAATTGTAAATTATATTATAATTATAATTATATATAATTATAATATTTATATAATTATATATATATATATATATATTTATATATTAAATATATATAATTATATATAATTATATTAAATAGTTATAATTAAATTATGTGTGTGTGTGTGTGTGTGTTCGCAGGCACCAGCAGTATTCTGGCAGGTGCAGCTCTAGCAGCAGTTTACAGAAGTACGGGACGAAGCTTCGACACAAACTCTCTCATTCATGATGTTCTTTACCTGGAGCAGATCCTCACCACCGGTACGAGAGACGCCTTTATTCTCATCACTTCCTTTCTAGAGTAATTCACTGAGGGTTCACTGAGCTGGGAAGCTCCATCAGGCTGAATTTGAAGGCATTTAGTACTGTATATGTGCTGCTGTTTTAGGTGGTGGATGGCAGGATCAGGTCGGCGGGCTGTTTGGAGGAGTGAAGCTGGCTCGATCTGCCGCTCAGTTACCGCTGAGAGTGGAAGTAGAACAGCTCTCTCTTCCTCAACACTTCCCGTCTGTCCTGCAGCAGCATCTTCTTCTGGTTTACACTGGAAAGACGCGTTTAGCACGGAACCTTCTGCAGGTACGAGCGGCTGATGGTGACGGTCAGACTTCATGACCGCGGTGTAGTGTGTCACTGGATCTCTGCGTGTGTGTGTAGGACGTGGTGCGGAGCTGGTATGCGCGTTTACCCTCCATCGTACGGAACGCAGAGCAGCTGGTGACCAATGCAGAGGAGTGTGCTGAAGCCTGCAGAGAGGGTGAGACACACACACACACACACACACACACACACACCAGATCCAGATGGAGGCTTTGATCTCTTTCTCTCAGGATCTCTCCTCAGGTTGGGGGAGTGTATGGACACATACTGGCAGCAGAAGAAGCTGATGGCTCCAGGCTGTGAGCCGGCGGCAGTGAGATCCATGATGAACGCTCTTCGGCCGCTGAGTTTAGGACAGAGTCTGGCAGGAGCAGGAGGAGGAGGATTCCTGTTCTTACTCACCCGTGAGCCTCAGCAGAAGACACCAGTGACCGAGATTCTCACAAACATACAGGTGAGCCTGAGAAACTGGTTCAACCACTACAGAATGAGAACATGTCAAGGGGAATGGTTGTTTTAACCCTTTCTAAACTGATATATTTAGAAGCACTTCTCTCAGAATGATGTGCAATTTAAACTGGTTTTAGTGTCCTAGTAAAAACAGAAATGGTGAAAGTAAAATGTATTTTCTGAATAGTGTTGGTCCTGCTGTTGTTTTGACAGGGCATTAATTCCTTCAGTGTTCATTCAGTGGAGCTGGATATGGACGGGATCTCAGTCATTCAGAAGAGCTCTGAACATCCTGAACAACAGCAGACGACTTACATCTGACTGCCTAATAACAATTAAACTGATATTATTTATGTAAATATAACATTTATAAACATTTGTTTCATAAACACTCACCTAAAGGATTATTAGGAACACCTGTTGCTTTTAATTTCTCATTACTGCAATTATCTAATCAACCAATCACATGGCAGTTGCTTCGATGTATTTAGTGGTGTGGTCCTGGTCAAGACAATCTCCTGAACTCCAAACTAAATGTCAGAATAGGAAAGAAAGGTGATTTAAGCAATTTTGAGCGTGGCATGGTTGTTGGTGCCAGACGGGCCGGTCTGAGTATTTCACAATCTGCTCAGTTACTGGGATTCTCACAACAGCCATTTCTAGGGTTTACAAAGAATGGTGTGAAAAGGGAAAAACATCCAGTATGTGGCAGTCCTGTGGGCGAAAATGCCTTGTTGATGCTAGAGGTCAGAGGAGAATGGGCCGACTGATTCAAGCTGATAGAAGAGCAACTTTGACTGAAATAACCACTCATTACAACCGAGGTATTCAGCAAAGCATTTGTGAAGCCACAACACGCACAACCTTGAGGCGGATGGGCTACAACAGCAGAAGACCCCACCGGGTACCACTCATCTCCACTACAAATAGGAAAAAGAGGCTACAATTTGCAAGAGCTCACCAAAATTGGACAGTTGAAGACTGGAAACATGTTGCCTGGTCTGACGAGTCTCGATTTCTGTTGAGACATTCAGATGGTAGAGTCAATTTGGCGTAAACAGAATGAGAACATGGATCCATCATGTCTTGTTACCACTGTGCAAGCTGGTGGTGGTGGTGTAATGGCGTGGGGGATGTTTTCTTGGCACACTTTAGGCCTCTTAGTGCCAATTGGGCATCTTTTAAATGCCACGGCCTACCTGAGCATTGTTTCTGACCATGTCCATCCCTTTATGGCCACCATGTACACATCCTCTGATGGCTACTTCCAGCAGGATAATGCACCATGTCACAAAGCTCGAATCATTTCAAATTGGTTTCTTGAACATGTCAATGAGTTCACTGTACTAAAATGGCCCCACAGTCACCAGATCTCAACCCAATAGAGCATCTTTGGGATGTGGTGGAACGGGAGCTTCGTGCCCTGGATGTTCATCCCACAAATCTCCATCAACTGCAAGATGCTATCCTATCAATATGGACCAACATTTCTAACAAGGTGCTGAAAGCATTCTTTAAATCAATGCCACGTAGAATTAAGGCAGTTCTGAAGGCGAAAGAATGTTTCAGGCAACCCACTGTAATTCTGTACATTCCAGGCACTTGGACATCTAGCCAGTAGTTCAGATGCATGTTGTTACAGCGCTGACTGTAGATGTATATTGAAGTCCTATATGATGCTACTTCAACAGTAACACCAGAGTGTCCTATAGTAGACAGACATGGACAAATACTTAAACTCAACATGATTCTATGGACTTAATTAATGGAAATACCAGGGGCCTCATTTCTAAAGACGTGGATAGATTGATCCTCTAAATACATTCAGTATGATAGTTTCCAAAATCCTCAGTGTTATTTCGTCGTGCACACAATAAAAATTATACGCCAATACACACTTCCTACAGACTTATATTTGGACTCAGGGATTCTCTGTCTTGCACCTCTGCCACAATCTCCTGCTCTCCGATCTTGGCACTGAAGTGGCAGACAGCAGCATCAGCCAATGAACAAGGCCTCCAGGTGGCGCTCTTCCTCAGGGATTCTCTGTCTTGCACCTCTGCCACAATCTCCTGCTCTCCGATCTTGGCACTGAAGTGGCAGACAGCAGCATCAGCCAATGAACAAGGCCTCCAGGTGGCGCTCTTTCTCATTCACATACAGCAGAGTGGAGGAGACTGTGGAGACATGATCCTGAACACGGACCTCCACTGAGATGCTCTTCAGAGGCACTGAGTCACACAAACCAACAGAACAACAACACATCACAAAACGTCCATTAGACTCTCTATATTAGCATAAAAACAAGAGTGAACAAGAGCTTTTTGATATATAATAAAAGAAATTCTGAATTTAAGAAGAGCATGTGGCATTTGTCAGTTTAAATATCTTCACTCAACTAATACTGGGATAAAGCCGACAAACTTTGCTGTTTGAAAAACACATAATAGCTCTCCAACATATAAATAAATAAATACATTGAGAAACTCGCAGTCCATCATTCTCACGCTCATGAACTGACTAGATGACCTAACGTTACTTTAAAAGTAGGCTAAGCGAAGGTGAAAATCAAAAACCGAAAATACACCATTTAAATGTGCCTTAAATCCTCACAGAATCCTCAATTAACGAGTTAATACGTGTTTCTGGGAGTTTATAGCGCGACCGAGTGTTTGGAGAAGAGAAGAGATGATTTCTGAAAATCGTTGAAACGATCCGCAGTTTCAGTCAGAGTCAGTAACTGTCACCGTCCCACAGGTGGGACGTTTGCCACTATATTTTTAAAACAATAATATCTTAGTAAATACCTTAAATAATATTGACAAACTATATATCATTTGAAAGCTTACAATCTCTAGTTTCCATATTTGGTGACTGATTTTCAAAATATATTACAGAGGAGCCATAATTTATCAATATAAAACAAGAATATTTTCATACTCATAAGGCGTGTTCAGACCTTTATTTTAAAATAGCAGTAAACATGAAAAATCATGAAAAAATGGTAGATACCTCAGTTTGTTTTCATGCCAAAAGTTCAAAAGATAGAATCCATTCAATTATTTTGGAAAAAAAGGTCTGAAAAAGTTTGAAAATATCAAGAAAAAAATAATAAATTCACCATTTGTGACGTGGCAGCTAGCTATGACTTACATGCGGGTTCTTTGTATGTGTTTCTTAGAGGTTCAATTCATATCAAAATCTGCCAAACTTCACATGCTACTTCTGAATAGGATCTCTACTTCAGAAATTGTATGAAAATTGTGAAAATAATGGTTCATATCACTCAAAACACGAATGGAAATGCAGGCGCCCTTATATGGGCAGTCATGGAGTCTGATTGTGCCCTAGTGAAAAAGTTTGGTACTGCGCTCAAACAAAATCTTACTGAAAGCTCATTTTTTGAGATATCAACCTAAAATTTGAAACACAACTTGTTCAGATTTTTGGCTTTGATCTTTCTGCCATTTTAGAGTAGCCCAGGTTTTGAAAATATATATTTTATGTAAAATATGAATAATTAATATTTTTACATTGTACATTTCCATAAACTCAAACTTCTATAACTTTTTTTCTGTTTCACTTTCTTAATTTATTTCACTTCTACAAAAATCTGCCAAATGTCTTCTTTAAAACAAGACCAATCATATGTCTATATTCCAAAGCATTCTTGAATTACAACCATTTAAGTTCGAAATGTGCATTTTCATGTCTATTCAAAAAAGGGGGGGTGACAGTTAACAGGTTAAACTGCGCTGAGATCAGAGATCCTGCTATTTAAACTGAGGCGTGGGTTTGGCTTATGAATATTAATTTACTGCAGAAGAGACGTAAAGCTGAGATTTTTTTATTCCAAACGAATTTTCTTTACAGTTTATAAACATATGGCTGATTCTTATACATCAGGGGTGATAATCACAGATACTTTAATAACTTTTTACTCATTTAAGAGTTTCTTCCGCACGCGAAGTGGAGATTTAGGATTAAAAGCTTCTTCAACTTCCAAGAAACTATCAAATCTGAACATATTAGTTAGGCTAGACGTCATTTTCTTGTTGGCAATATTTTGTAACAACCCCATGTAGGAATATCACAGCAAACATATTTATTGAATTAGCCTATTAGTTTCAACAGACAAAAACAACAGCTATCAATACTAAAAATATCACATGTCACATCATGTAATAGTCTGTATTAGAGAGATGTTTAGAAAAACACAAATTTGCTTATATTTTAAAGTTATTAAAAAAAGAAAGCATTTAGATAAAGCAGATTTCAGATCTCAGATTAGCTTCATTGTGTTAGTGTATGTTTGACTCATGACGTCATAAAGAAAGTTAGTAGAATCGAACGAATGGAACGCGTGGGTTTACTATATAAGCGCTTCACAGCCTGACACAATTTGTGGGTTTGTTGTAGTGGTCGAGAGAGAGTGACAGTGGTTTTTCACAGCGATGGGTCAGCGAGTTAGTAAAGTGAGTCCGATGATTGGCGAGGTGTGCGATCAACATCAAAGCACACCCCCAAAACCCAGCATTAACACGGCGGTTCAGCATCCTCGTCCTCGCGATGAGACTGAGACTCCTGTTGATGCTGCTGGTGTGGGAAAGAGCCAAGAGAGGAGAGGAGGAGGAGGAGGAGAAGGAGGAGGAGGAGGAGGAGGAGAAGGAGGAGGAGGAGGAGGAGAGGAAGAAAGTGAGGTGAAGTTGAGGAGATTCATGGAGAGAGGAGAAGGAGACGGAGGCGAGGAGAGGAAGTCAGGGAGAGTGCTGAAGAGAAGAAAGAGGAAGTGGTGGAGGAGGATGGTCTCTTTCTTCAGAGCTGACAGTAAACAGGGAGAGGAGAAGCAGAGGGATGAGGGAGAGGAGAGGAAGGTAGCATGGGCAGGAAGAAGTAGTGATGGTAAATTTCACCAGATATCTTATGAGAATATAAATGACTAGATCTCTGATTTGACCTCGTAAAAACTTTTACTGTATCACACACAATGACAATATCAAATACACATCAGTGCAAATTATACCAAAATACATATCAATGCCATTAGATCTTTATTATATGGTACAGCATTAGTAAAAACGAATACGCATTATCTAATCAAAAAAAATTGTGGCAACAGATTACAAGCAATATTATTAATTACATTTAACAAATTAGAATTGAGTATTAATGAATGAAATGAATTCCTTAAAAGTTAACCATTTAAAATGAGTAAAACTTACAACAACAACAAACAAAATACTTAAGTCACCATTATGGTGATCGGTGTTTGTTTTAGGATTGTTTTAAAATTACGGTTTTCTCCTTCAGTAATTCTGCTTGTTAACATCAGGTGTCTTCAATGTTGTAATAAAATATAAATAGTTCTTAATCAATCTTTGACGTTTGTCTGTTATTCAGATATTTATGTTAAATATTTGGGTGTAAACTTTACTCATTTTAAATGGTTAACTTTTAAGGAATTAATTTGATTAATTATTACTCAATTCTAATTTGTTCAATTTAATTAATATTATTGCTTGTAATCTGTTGCCACAATTTTTATTTGATTAGATAAAGCGTATTAATTTTTACAGTGTATGTATATATATGTACTGATGTTAAAACTGTAAATATTCCATATAGTCTCTGTTAATTATTTAAAATACATTAAAATAAATATATACATCATGTTATTTTGTCTTTTAATAGACTACATCTTCAGTCACTACACTATTGGTGATCAGCTGGGGAAAGGTGGTTTTGGTGTGGTGTATGAAGGGAGACGTCTGGAGGATGATCTTAAAGTGAGTCAAAATAAATTAAACATGATCTTGTGAATTATCTTCTGATATATCACTCTAAGCCTTCTTAGTGTATCTTATGGCTTTTGCACACAAATTAATTGTTTGTTTTGTTCATCAGGTGGCCGTGAAATACGTCACAAAGACGGAACACACTGAATGTATATTCATTGTAAGTAGGCTGCACAATATAAAACATCTCATATTAAAATTAACCACAGACAGATATTTGATTGTTTATTCAATTAACAAACTGGTCCAAGACTGAGCTAAATCTTTATTTCCAAACCAAATTCTTCTAGCCTGATCATCCAAAGCCCCTTCCTAAAGAGGTCGCCCTCACCATCCTGGCCAGTAAAGGTCCCCGTGTGCCTGAGATCATCCGGCTGCTGGACTGGCAGGACCGCCCTGACCACTTCGTCATGGTCCTCGAATGTCCCTCTCCATGTGAGGATCTGATCCGGTTCATGAAGCGTCACGGTGGAAGACTCGATGAGGAAAAGGTACGGCACATCATGAGGCAGACGGTTCACGCTGCCAACGTGTGCTGCGATCGCAGAGTTCTCCACCGTGACATCAAACTGGAAAATCTCCTCATCAACATGGAGACGTCTGAAGTCAAGCTGATAGACTTCGGGTGTGGGGACATTCTGAGGAGTTCGGTGTACAGGTCATACTCCGGTATGTATTGTAACTCAAAGCTGCACTCAAAGATGTGGGAACGCATTACAAATTTACATCTCACACAAAATCTTTCCTCAGGCACATCAGCGTACTGTCCTCCCGAGTACCGTGCCAAGGGGAAGTACCACGGCAGGCAGGCGACGGCATGGTCACTAGGGATTCTGATGTTCGCCATGTTATGTGGACATTTCCCTAGTGACTATGACCTGATGCTCCTGAAACAGAAGCTCTGGTGCAAACCCAACCTGTCTCCAGGTGAGATCTAGAATTAATAGTTCACTATCATACAAAACATGATGTAAAGTTTGAGGTAATAATCAGACGTCTTCCTTCACAGAATGCTGTCGCCTCCTCGGGTCTTTGCTAAAGGAGAAGCCGAGCCAGCGACTCAGTCTGGGGATGATTCTGTCCCACAACTGGTTTAAGGTAGTGAAACTAAGATCGGCTAAAAATCATTTGATTTTCTCATAGGAAGAATTCGCTAAGTCAAATCTGTTCTTTTTTCTGTGTTGTTTCAGGTCGTCACATAAGAGCCCCTTTTTGTTTTCATTCCAATTGCAGGGCCTCGAAAGAGACCTTCATTGTTATTTTTCATCACTACCTCTCCGTGTCGGAAATGGGTAATTTGCGCGCCTGCTGCCTTCCTTGGATGTGGTAGCCGTTTCTCAGGCTCCCTCTCCGGAATCGAACCCTGAATGTACCATCGAAAGTTGATAGGGCAGACATTCGAATGAGTCGTCGTCGCCGCCGCCGCGGAGGGCGCGCGATAAGAGGTTTCATCATGGCTTCTCAATGCCAGAGCTTTCTGCCTCTCCGATGACAGAGCTCCCTCTCCTGGTCACAGCCGGTAACAAGGGTCCTGATACGACTGATCTATGATATATGTGACTGCCTCCTCAATACCAGTGCTCCCAGTCATGGCTGCCCCAGTGATTCCTGCCACAGGCACACCAGAGATTCCTGTTCTTGTCACAAGGTCAGCACTCATGATGACCATCTCAGCCACAACAGTATCCAAGCTCCTCGTTATTTCCGTCCGGTCCACCCTGTCCCAGAAGTTCCCATCATTAGCGCCTCACAGTCAGTTAATAAATCTCGCCACTGCCGGCCCGGAGGTTTATGTGACGGGGTGGTGAATGATGGCACAATGGATAAGACACATGCCTTTGGTGTGAGAGACCCGGGTTGGAATCCACTGTGAGGCACCAATGTGAGTAAGACACTTAAGCCCTAGTTGCTCCAGAGGTGTGCGACCTCTGATATACAGTATATAGCAATTGTAAGTCGCTTTGAATAAAAGCGTCAGCTAAATGAATAAATGTAAATTATGTCTCTCTGTTTCAGTTTAAAGCTTCCTACCCTGTCTGTCCCGGACCAGTGGTTCCCGTCATGGCTGTTTGGTCCTAGAAGTTCTTGCCATGGACGCCTCAGAGGTTCAAATGCCAGAAGTCATCCACCAGTGGCGCTTCCTGACGGCATTAAAACGCTCTGGATGATGTTAATAAAAATAACTGTTTAATAACTGTATATGATCAGTGTGATTTATAATATTATTCTCAGACTCATGAGGAAGCAGGCGTACTTATATCAAAGTCCATTCTGATGCTGTTGTTTGTCTTTTTCTTCACTGTATGAACGGCACGTGGATGTTGAATTACCGCCCCCTACAGGATTATACATTTAATAATAATCTGATAAAGGGTTCAAAAAGACATTTACCTTTAAAAATGGTGATTTACAAATATTTAAGTTATAGACAAACTGCTCTGTATGTTACACTTAAAATGATCTACCTGTGCATATCCGTCCGTATCTTTCTTACTGACCATTTGATTTGTTTTTGTTTTTTTTTGTAACTTGAGCAAGTCCAAAAACAAGTAGGCCTACTGTTTTAAATGTCAGCCTTGTATGGTTTTTATATTCACCAAATTTGGGTGTTTCTGCAACTGCGGCCACTTTTGATGGTGTGAGCTTTTCGAAAATGAACTCTCTTAAATGAACACTTTCAATGGTAACATTTGTTTGCTAACAGTATCCGACAAAGTAGATGGATGCATCAAATGAAAAATTAATCAACTAAAATGTCACAACTTCCAACGCATCTCAAATCACGTGAATTTGAACAGTAACAATAATATGAAGGCAAAGTAAAAATAGGTTTCCAATGCTGTTTTTAATGCACATTATTTAATTTACACTCATATAACACTGTCACATGGCACCCGTTTATAGTCAGATAGACACTAGAGGACCTGAATGGCAAGACACAATGCAAGATCCTTTTTTCTGAAGACAGAAAAGCAGAAAGTACCTATAATCTACAGCAGTCAACATTTGAAGTGGATCAAAACCTTTCATCAAATTTATACGTTAAATTTTTGAACAATACCCATTCTTGTCTTAGGATAACTTTGATTAACTTTTGAATTTGATTAACAGGCTGAATTTGAAGGCATTTAGTACTGTATATGTGCTGCTGTTTTAGGTGGTGGATGGCAGGATCAGGTCGGCGGGCTGTTTGGAGGAGTGAAGCTGGCTCGATCTGCCGCTCAGTTACCGCTGAGAGTGGAAGTAGAACAGCTCTCTCTTCCTCAACACTTCCTGTCTGTCCTGCAGCAGCATCTTCTTCTGGTTTACACTGGAAAGACGCGTTTAGCACGGAACCTTCTGCAGGTACGAGCGGCTGATGGTGACGCTCAGACTTCATGACCGCGGTGTAGTGTGTCACTGGATCTCTGCGTGTGTGTGTAGGACGTGGTGCGGAGCTGGTATGCACGTTTACCCTCCATCGTACGGAACGCAGAGCAGCTGGTGACCAATGCAGAGGAGTGTGCTGAAGCCTGCAGAGAGGGTGAGACACACACACACACACACACACACACACCAGATCCAGATGGAGGCTTTGATCTCTTTCTCTCAGGATCTCTCCTCAGGTTGGGGGAGTGTATGGACACATACTGGCAGCAGAAGAAGCCGATGGCTCCAGGCTGTGAGCCGGCGGCAGTGAGATCCATGATGAACGCTCTTCGGCCGCTGAGTTTAGGACAGAGTCTGGCAGGAGCAGGAGGAGGAGGATTCCTGTTCTTACTCACCCGTGAGCCTCAGCAGAAGACACCAGTGACCGAGATTCTCACAAACATACAGGTGAGCCTGAGAAACTGGTTCAACCACTACAGAATGAGAACATGTCAAGGGGAATGGTTGTTTTAACCCTTTCTAAACTGATATGTTTAGAAGCACTTCTCTCAGAATGATGTGCAATTTAAACTGGTTTTAGTGTCCTAGTAAAAACAGAAATGGTGAAAGTACATTGTATTTTCTGAATAGTGTTGGTCCTGCTGTTGTTTTGACAGGGCATTGGTTCCTTCAGTGTTCATTCAGTGGAGCTGGATATGGACGGGATCTCAGTCATTCAGAAGAGCTCTGAACATCCTGAACAACAGCAGACGACTTACATCTGACTGCCTAATAACAATTAAACTGATATTATTTATGTAAATATAACATTTATAAACATTTGTTTCATAAACACTCACCTAAAGGATTATTAGGAACACCTGTTGTTTTTAATTTCTCATTAATGTAATTATCTAATCAACCAATCACATGGCAGTTGCTTCAATGTATTTAGTGGTGTGGTCCTGGTCAAGACAATCTCCTGAACTCCAAACTGAATGTCAGAATGGGAAAGAAAGGTGATTTAAGCAATTTTGAGCGTGGCATGGTTGTTGGTGCCAGACGGGCCGGTCTGAGTATTTCACAATCTGCTCAGTTACTGGGATTCTCACAACAGCCATTTCTAGGGTTTATAAAGAATGGTGTGAAAAGGCAAAAGCATCCAGTATGTGGCAGTCCTGTGGGCGAAAATGCCTTGTTGATGCTAGAGGTCAGAGGAGAATGGGCCGACTGATTCAAGATGATAGAAGAGCAACTTTGACTGAAATAACCACTCATTACAACCGAGGTATGCAGCAAAGCATTTGTGAAGCCACAACACGCACAACCTTGAGGCGGATGGGCTACAACAGCAGAAGACCCCACCGGGTACCACTCATCTCCACTACAAATAGGAAAAAGAGGCTACAATTTGCAAGAGCTCACCAAAATTGGACAGTTGAAGACTGGAAACATGTTGCCTGGTCTGACGAGTCTCGATTTCTGTTGAGACATTCAGATGGTAGAGTCAATTTGGCGTAAACAGAATGAGAACATGGATCCATCATGCCTTGTTACCACTGTGCAGACTGGTGGTGGTGGTGTAATGGTGTGCGGGATGTTTTCTTGGCACACTTTAGGCCTCTTAGTGCCAATTGGGCATCGTTTAAATGCCACGGCCTACCTGAGCATTGTTTCTGACCATGTCCATCCCTTTATGGCCACCATGTCCCCATCCTCTGATGGCTACTTCCAGCAGGATAACGCACCATGTCACAAAGCTCGAATCATTTCAAATTGGTTTCTTGAACATGACGATGAGTTCACTGTACTAAAATGGCCCCACAGTCACCAGATCTCAACCCAATAGAGCATCTTTGGGATGTGGCGGAACGGGAGCTTCGTGTCCTGGATGTGCATCCCACAAATCTCCATCAACTGCAAGATGCTATCCTATCAATATGGACCAACATTTCTAAAGAATGCTGTTGAATCAATGCCACGTAGAATTAAGGCAGTTCTGAAGGCGAAAGGGGGTCAAACACAGTATTAGTATGGTGTTCCTAATAATCCTTTAGGTGAGTGTGTGTGTATATATATATATATATATATATATATATATTTATGTAGTCTTAGTCTACTATAAAATTAGGACATTTTTAAAATATATAGCACAGCTGTTTAATGAGGCAGCAATATATGATCGATGAGAATAAAAAAGGCTATTAATAATCTTTCATTGCGCAAAAGTATTATGATAATATGACGCTGAATGGAGAATGACTGACAGCTGCAGCGGAGGGAAAAGTTTATGTGAACTTAAAGTAAAAAATATATATGTACGCACGTCAGCAAGATGTCCTCATATCCTCAGCTCTGATGATTCAGAATGTTTCAGGCAACCCACTGTAATTCTGTACATCCCAGGCACTTGGACATCTAACCAGTAGTTCAGATGCATGTTGTTACAGCGCTGACTGTAGATGTATATTGAAGTCCTATGTGATGCTACTTTAACAGTAACACCAGAGTGTCCTATAGTAGACAGACATGGACAAATACTTAAACTCAACATGATTCTATGGACTTAATTAATGCACATACCAGGGGCCTCATTTCTAAAGACGTGGATAGATTGATCCTCTAAATACATTCAGTATGATAGTTTCCAAAATCCTCAGTGTTGTTACGTGGTGCACACAGTAAAAATGATACGCCAATACACACTTCCTACAGCCTTATATTTGGACTCAGGGTTTCTCTGTCTTGCACCTCTGCCACAATCTCCTGCTCTCCGATCTTGGCACTGAAGTGGCAGACAGCAGCATCAGCCAATGAGGCCTCCAGGTGGCGCTCTTCCTCATTCACATACAGCAGAGTGGAGGAGACTGTGGAGACATGATCCTGAACACGGACCTCCACTGAGATGCTCTTCAGAGCCACTGAGTCACACAAACCAACAGAACAACACATCACAAAACGTCCATTAGACTCTCTATATTAGCATCAGGCGCGTCGTTAGACATGGGCGTTCGGGGCTTCAGCCCCGGATGTTTTTTTATAGCCCCGGATCTCAAATAAATAAATAAATAAATATATATATATATATATTGATCATTATTATTAAATTTTAATAATTTTGTATTTATTTTTTAAAAAATTACCCGGTATTTTAATCTATCCTTGGGAATAATGTATTAAAGACGATTAAAATGTTCAAGCAGATCAAATTTACTATGGTTACGGTTACACAGTACGCTTGAGTTTAGATTGCGCACCAGAGGAGAGAGAGAGAGAGAGAGTGCCTGAAAGAGCAATCGGTTAACTTACAGCTTTAGGGCTTGACTGCAATTGTTGTTTGTGCCTTCATTAGACACTTTTTAAAAAGTCAAATAAGGAGTCATGAAGAACGATACGAGGCCGATGAGGGGCAAGAAGAGTTATCTAATTTACTGGCGCCGTTCCCTCATCAAAGCTCAAGTCGGTGAACAAAACCATAAATAGGGCTATACTGCCTTCTTGTGTCAAATTATATTTCTAGATTCATTTTTCCAACAAATAAAACCAAACCCGCAATAAAAACCCATCCAATACACCTTTGAACTCAACAGACTCAGTGGCTCAGTTGATAAAGCATTGGGCTTTAATCAAGAAGACCTGAGTTCAAATCCCATTCTTGCTTACGTTAAATTGTTGTGATTATATCAAACAAAGTGGCCAAAACAACATTTCTCCAACCTGGTATCACGACAAGACGTTGGTCCACTTTGGAAAACGTGTAGATGTCACGGTTTAACCCCTTCAAACGTGAAACTTACACTAAACTGAAACTTAAACTTATCATAACGACCTATTGGTTTTCATTAAACCGAGAAAAATGGGATTTTGTTTTATTAACGATCACTGAGAAATGGTCTATTATTTAAAATGCAAAAAACATTTATTATTTTCAAGGTGAAAAGGATTAATTTGCCTCGATCCACGCAGAAAAAAAAGTCTAAATGTCACGTTTTTAATGAAGAAGCCTAAATGGCCCACTTTGGAAAACGTGTAGATGTCATGGTTTAACCCCCTCAAATGTGAAACTTACACGTTTGCCTTAACACGCTCCAGTGGAGAGATACCCATGTTGACCTATTCTACACGCAATCGCCTCTGCCATAACGACCTATTGGTTTTCATTAAACCGAGAAAAATGGAATTTTGTTTTATTTACGATCACTGAGAAATGTTCTATCATCCCTGCTGAAAAAAACAACAGAAACCATTACAGAAATGCACATTTTCCAAAGTGGACCAGCGTGATTAATTCACGTCTTGTCGTGATACCGGGTTGGAGAAATTTTGTTTTTGCCACTTTGTTTGATATAATCACAACAATTTAACGTAAGCAAGAATGGGATTTGAACTCAGGTCTCCTTGATTAAAGCCCAACGCTTTATCGCCACTGAGTCTTTTGAGTTCAAGAGTGTTTTGGATGGGTTTTTATTGCAGGTTTGGTTTTATTTGTTGGAAAAATAAATCTGGAAATATAATTTGACACAAGAGGGCAGTATAGCCCTATTTATGGTTTTGAGTTTAAACTATCACAATCAGTTAAACCGTGACATCTAGCCTACACGTTTTCCAAAGTGGACCATTTAGGCTGCTTCATTAAAAACGTGACATTTAGACGTTTTTTTTTCGGCGTGGATCGAGGCAAATGAGTCCTTTTCACCTTGAAAATAATAATTTTGCATTTAAAAAAATAGACCAGAAGAGAAATTCAAGAAGTCATAGGTTCGAATCCACACGTCACATACAATTTTTTTTTTTCGATTGTTTCGGTTCTAAGTTTGATTTAGAAAGTAGTGTGTGTGGATTTTTAGCGGTCGTTTTATTTCTGAGTTTATTTTTTCTTTTTAGAGTAAACCATTTGAATTCATTATAAAATTTCATCCAGGCTAATACTAAGATTTATTAAGTTAATGATTTCCTATGGTAATATGGGCAAAATAACCCCCTTATTACTGCATTCACACTATATTAATATACTATTTCATTGAGAGTGAAAAGGAACAGCAACTTGACACTGAATTTCATTAGATGCAATAAAACAAATAAATACAACACACCAGTATTCATAGAGAAACAAATTTATTAACTATATGAATATTAGAAAAATGTGGAAAAGTACTGAATTCACCATATGGAAAATAAGAACACAAACATAAAAATAAGTTTAAAACAAATATAATATTTCCGTATGTGTTATTGTGTAAGTATACATCCTCATATATACCCACACATTTTTGTATTTTACATAATATTGTTTTCATAATAATAATAAAAATACAAGATAAAAAAGTGCACAGTATAATACTTTAAAATTAAATATGGCTGAAAGATAAAAAACAGAGCAGAGCCAACCAAAAGAGCAAAATGAATAAATCACACAGGCACACAAGCGTTATTTTCTTATATTTTGTAACCACTGCTCCTTAGTGATTGTTTCTTTATTCTATTAAGAATTTTATTTTCTACCCTGACACCTAGGATAAAGAATCCAGTGTCCAAAAATGCTGGTACTGTTCTTTTTCTCTGATTTGTCAAAACTTACTTTATTTTTGTCCAGAAGCCTTGTAATTTTACCAAAAACATTGTGAACTGCATTCATCAAAATATATTTACCTGTGTATACTGCAGGTGGAGTGAAGCTAGGGATTAATTTCCTTCCATACAACTTATTGTAGTTCTCATTGACAGAGTAAACCAGCTCCCCTGTGTAAGTACGCAGGGTTGAACTTCCACCTGCAACAGCAGCTGCAGCCCGGTCCTGATTCCAGCGTAATAAACCTTCCAGGAGGTAAATCTGGAAGTTCAGGCTGTTTGCGCGGTTCCCTAGAAAAGGAA